AAGAACTTCCTGGAACTATTTGAGGTCTACGTGAATCACGTGACGATCAAGCGTTTTGGACTTCCGTTGACGCAACTCTCTCTTTCTATGGCTCTGTCCTGGACCTGTTCGACAGCACTGTAAGCCAATGGCGTTGAGCATTGTGAAATTGACAGCACTCTAATCCAATGGCGTTGAGCATTATGAAATGGACAGCACTCTAATAATCCAATGGCATCGTAATATACGGGAAATAATTGGCAGTGAATCAGAGTAGGTGTGTAGGTTTGGGCACAAGGGAGGGCCAAGCATATTTTGAGGGGGCCGGTGCCACCCCTCTAGACGCGCCCCTGCAGGAGTTCGCACTCCCGAGTCGAATTTGCGAAGTCCGAACTACCGAGGACTTGTTAAGTAAGCTTGTTAAGGACTAGCGCTTGTTAAGTAAGTACTTATTGAAATTAAGTACCTACTCATTGAGTATGCGGTTTCGAACGCAGCCAAAAACGTTCATCTTAGTGAGGAGGCGGGGCTGACCCCGTTGCTATGTATGACACAGTCTATTGAAGACTGTGATTGGCTGGTTGTTCAAGAAGGGGAAAAAAGAGAGTGCTTTAGGGTTTATTATAAGCCTTCACTTTGAAATTACAGGCGTAATTTTTCCTATTTTGCTCTCTCTCTCACACACATTATATACAGTATATGTACACACACACATACACATACACACACACACACACACACACACACACACACACACACACACATATATATATATATATATATATATGCAACTTTATTGTCAACCCCAATGGTTGAAAATTATCTTTGACCACACCATTGACATCAGACATACATAGTCTGATATACTGATATCATAATCTTCAAACAAAGTGATCACACAAACAATTACAGCACTTTCAGAACCTTATTGTGTCGCTGTTCGTTTCCTATACCTTAAGTACAACATTAACAGCATGGTAAATATATACATATATATTCTTACTTTTTTTATTTACCATGCTGTTATAGAAGATTATGACAGACCCAAATCATCACTGCTGCATGTACAGCCACATTCACACAGCAGCAGAATATGCAGAATACAGTTGTCCATCCTGTATTTGAGTCCTTAACACAGTTACGTTCACACAATACAGTTATTTACGGGGGTGACAACCGCATTCTATAACCGAACTCACATTTTCAGGACTCACAACCGCATTCTCGGAAAACACGCGCTGTATGAACTGGACAACTAGTTGTAGTACAGTGCGAGAGAGCCGCTCATGTGTGGTTTCACTTAGGGTACAGCGACGGAGAAATGAGCTGTGTGTCATCTGAAGGTTTTAGATCCAGTCACTGTTCTCCACTGGAG